ATGGTTGGCTGCCAGTCTAGGAGAAAAACAACTCTGAATTCAAAACCAGTTGAGTATGAAGCTATCAATTTCCTGCATCAAACATCGGAAAAAACATCAAACTCCAACTCCTGACATGATGAGACTGTAGACACAACCCACAGGATTTCTACGGTGTTAGCATACATGACTCAGAATAATTTCATGAAGAATTGCAGCGTTTCACTTACTGTAAGTGAAATAAATAAGAACATTAATCCCAGCTCAACTGACTATTCTTACGTGTAAGGCATAATTTGAAATTTGTAATACTGAATTCAGTCCTGGGGGTCATTTTATTGAATTGTGGTAAATATTATTAACGCGGCCAGAAGTAAAACGTCTACAGAACACTCCTTATAATTGGCCTACTTATCCTGGCTTAGCTCTGACGAAAATTCTTTATTATCAGTCCTTTGGAGAAAATCCTGTTTACATTATATTTTATGGGATATTTGTGATCGTTATAATAGCGTGCATTACTATAATTTGGACAAATCAAAGTAGAAAAAGGAAGGAAGAATAGAAATCACCTGACACACATACACTTATCTATCTATCTATCTATCTATCTATCTATCTATCTATCTATCTATCTATCTATATATATATATATATATATATATTCTTTCTATTTATCTATCTATCCTTCTCTGTCGCTCTCTTTACACACACACACACACACACACACATATATATATATATATATATATAATGTTTGTGTGCGTGTGTGTGAGTCTGTGGACTGAGAACAAATGAAGATCAAATATGGATCGGAATCCGACAGAATGATAGGATAAAGAGAAAATAGGGAACGTGTATGAATCTAACATGTTTCACTTTTATTTAAGCTTCATCAGAGAATAAGATACGGAAAAAAAAGATTTCTAGTATTTTGACTTTTGTTAAAAAAAATCAATGAAAATCAACTAAAACCAACAAAAATCAATGAAAATGAACAAAAATCAACAAAAATCTAAATGAAATAATAATAAAACCGAAGGAATATACAACCCAGTGAGTCTGAAGATTTTAATTTTTTATTGTTCAATATATATATATATATATATATATATATATATATATATACCAAATGCAATAGCAAAATTGTCAACAATTGTGTAACAGCATAATTATCCATCCCACAAAATGTTTAATATCTTAAAAAAAAAAAAAAATAATTAATTGTTTCTTTTTTCAAAGTTTTCAGATAACAAGTTTAGTCATCTTGACACCATTTTTCGTTGCAATCACGGAAAACCCTCTCAGTTATTCAGCTAAAAAGAGGACAGGCAAGTTAAAATTGTTAGGTGTCAGAGCCTCTATCTTCACAACTGAGCTACAGTGAGGGAAAAGTATCATTTAGGCCTTCAGTAATGGTATGAACATTCATACACAGGCATACATCTTCAAAGTCCATTCAAGAACCAACAAGAAGAAACAGTAGAGAGAAAACTGGATCAGGAAATCACAACTGGAAGAGTAATTGTCATTTCAACTTAGAGCTAAAGAGATCGATTAGAAAAGATCCAACTCAATTCATAAGACGTTCGGCACTTGAGAGAAGAAATTTCCGCTAGGTCAGTCCAAAGAGTAGTGAAAAAAGACTTGAAAATGAAATCGTACGTGAAACTTGTTTAGGCACCTTGTTACTCCAAGACAAAAAGTTAGAAGGTTAGAGAGAGCGAAGATCATCTTGAATAAGTTGGAAAAATGATCCTGGAATAATATATATATATATATATATATATATATATGAACATTATTTCAATACTTCATGAACTTTAGCTATAATTAATTAATGATGAACATGTCATTTTCATTTATGATCGATTTCATCACAACTGTTTTCTTAAGCTTTGAGAGTAATTATACATTCTTATTGCCCAAAGTAGAGTCCAATAGTGTTATAAAAACCTCAAAGAATTCCAATAAGATATCTTTAATCCTTTCTAAGATACAACGGTTCAGAGCTTAATCAAACAATTGAACAATTTTGTTTTTACACGATTTGGACAATAATGATGTTACAGTCCGTATATATATATATATATATATATATATATATATATATATATATATATATATATATATATATATATATATATATATATATATATATATATATATATATATAGTGCGATGGGTAAGTTTTCCTGTCAATTACGCACAAATGAATATAGCACTGATAATAACTAATTTATTTACCAAAATTACACAAAATTATATTGAAATACTAAAGAGTAAATTTATTCAATAAAATCGCCATTGATTTCAACCTCGGCCATCAGACGACTTCGGAATCATCTGCAACTCTTCTGGACGGTCTACTTGAGCATTTTATGAATGCTGCCAAAATTCTTGCCTTCATCTTTGGTGTCACAAGGAGTTTTGTTGGTCTCTCGCTCAACTGCACCCCACATATAATAATCAAGGGGGTCGCAGTCTGGGAAGTTAGGCTGCCAAATGTAAAGGGTGATGTGATTGCAGAAATTGTCTGACAGCCATGACTGAGTGCTCCTGCTTGTGTAGAATGGTGCAGAGTCCTGTTGCCATGCACAGAGTCTTACAGCAGCCACCCAGGGCAGCACTACCTCCTCAAGGAACTTGATGTAGGGCTCCGTGTTTAATCTGTGGCCCTTGTTGGAAGATGAATGGAGGCATAACGTCGTCATCGCTAGTGATCGCTCCAAACACCGTGATGTTTACTAGATATATGATCCAACTCTTTGCGAATCATCTGCATTGGCCACAGATTGAGAGGGAAACGCCCTCGAATGTTCGTTTTGGCGCTTTCCAATTTCTGGCGGAGTGAATTGAGCCATCGTACTCGTTCTCTTACAGACGGTGCCCAACTGACCCTAGTATACTATGCAGGTATCAAAATCAAAAACAACCAACGAGGGATTAAAACTATAAAATGGCGTCAAATTACTCATCACGCCCTATATATATATATATATATATATATATATATATATATATATATATATATATATATATATAATAAAACAAATTAGCGGCAGTAAATGAGTTGACTATAGTGGCTTGTGCAGAACCAACCACACTTTTTGGGAGAGACCAATACAGGGAACTGATGCCCAGTACCCCACAAAACTCAAAAACAACCCTCCACATGTTTTCATTTCAAAGTTGTACTTTTCCTAGACTTCCCCACCTGAAGCTATAGAACCCATTGGTCTATATATATATATATATATATATATATATATATATATATATATAAATTGAATCAAAAAAAAACTGACAACCTGATCGTTTATATTTATATTAGATACTATATATATATAAATATACTAAATACCGTATGTGTGTGTGTGTGTGTGTGTGTGTGTGTGTGTGTGTGTGTGTGTGTGTGTGTGTGTGTGTGTGTGTGATCCACAGATAGACTGTTTCGCTGCATCACAGCTCATCATTGTGGCTAGACGTCCGATATATATAACACTAGCAGCATGGCCCGGCGTTGCCCTTGCTTGATTCAAGAATCGTACAACTCATACAGCAATCGCTATCACTTGACTTAAAATATTTTTGACCTTCCTTGCCTTTAAAGGAGTGCCCTTTGCCATGTTGATGTTGCTACATGCCTTACTTCTTGCCTATCTCACACTGCGAATTTTTTCTAAGCTATATACTAAACATTAAATCTGTTACGAAAAAAGAACTAAACAAAATGAACACAAAACAATCAGCTTTAAAAAAGGAGTCGTAGCTGGAAAAACCGAATTAAAAAAGAATGTTAACAACAAATAATTTTTCACACATAACCCAGTTCTGCGGAATCAGAATCAACGTTGAGTTTAAGCAAGCGAATGAGCCAATTGGAGTAAAGTGCCATGCAGATTTCAATTTGTCCTACTTGTGACGAATGCAACGATTTTTTTTTTGCATGCTAGCATGCTAGTTAACATTCGTGTCAGTCAGCTGTTGACTCTCACGCTGGCCAATAGAATCTTCCTGCCTATTCGTGGCAGCCAGCTAATGGCTCTCACTCTGGCCAGTACAAAATAGCCTCAAACTACATGAAAACTGCCGTAGAAGCATGAAAAAATCGATTATTTCCACTATCAGTGGGAGTTGGGAAATGCAAAGTCGGTCTTGGCCTTCCCGCTAACTTGGAGCATGTGCATGTAAATTTTGGTGCAAATCCGTCGAAAATTGCGACCGTGCATTCATTACACACACACACTGCCTTTTATAGATAGAGATTCTCAGCATCCCTCATTCGTACGCCTGTGTAGTCGCACCAACGTGATAGAAATCTTGCGATGAAGTCGTAAAGGACAAAACGCGTCAAAAAGAAAACTCTTTCCACTTTGTCATACATTTTACAGAATATTGTTGTTGATATATAAAAAATATGTAACATTATCTCACACACACACACACATATATATATATATATATATATATATATATATATATATATATATATATATATATATATTGGTCTGTTCGTATCTATTTAATCAGTTCATATCTATTTTTTGTTTCAGTCTATTCCTCTATCATTTTCTCTTTCACTCCCAATTTCTCACATACAGTCTCTCTCAGTCCTTTCAGTCTGTTTCTATATGATTATGTTTCTCTTTATCTCTGTCCATCTGATTTTACATACGTATCAAGCAATCGATCTGAATCTCCTCCTATTTCTCTGTCAGTTCATATTAATCACTCTTGCGATGCTAATGTGCCTATCAGGAAAAAGCTTCCTTCACAATTCTCAGAGCAATCTCTCATATCAGTAGACATCTGTTTTATCTCGTATACGTCGACGGTAAAATCAAATTTGGGCAAATTCAGATCTTTTTTTTATTCTCTTTCCTTCACTCTTTATAGTTTATTTATTTCTTCTGGCTGTACCCGTGAAAATTCCACGGGTGTTGGAAACTGAGATATCATCATTACACTCGTGTTTATAATTCTGCAATTACTGACAGAATACAGTCATTATATGCATATTAAATATAAATAAGTCTAATGAACAAAATGAGTAAAAATAAATACAAGAAAGAAAGAAAGAAAGAAAGAAAGAAAGAAAGAAAGAAAGAAAGAAAGAAATTCAAAGTTGAGAATATTAAGGACAAAAAAGTGGGAAAAAGAAAGAAAGAAAGAAAGAAAGAAAGAAAGAAAGAAAGAAAGAAAGAGTCAAAACGATTAAGAATGAAAGACTGGGAAGTGCTACTATTACTGCTAAGAAAGAAAGAAAGAAAGAAAGAAAGAAAGAAAGAAAGAAAGAAAGAGTGGGAAGTGCTACTATTACTGCTAAGAAAGAAAGAAAGAAAGAAAGAAAGAAAGAAAGAAAGAGTGGGAAGTGCTACTATTACTGCTAAGAAAGAAAGAAAGAAAGAAAGAAAGAAAGAAAGAAAGAAAGAAAGAAAGAAAGAACTATTAAGCCTTAATAGCCTGATTATTGGATGTTAGAGGCCAGTTTTTCCTCCATTCATCTGTTAGAACTAGACCAGAGCAGTGATCAACTGCCAGGCTCTGGTCATCTTGATTTTAGGTGGTGCACAAATAAACTCTGGTCTAAGCTGTATTGATATTAATTAATTATCTGACAATGTTACGAGGTTGAATATTAATATAAAGGAGAAAGAGGGTAGGACCGTGGAGTGTGTCATGGGCTTCGCAAGACTGGCAATTAACAGATTTTAATTGCTGTTGTTCCCAGGTCCAACTTGACCCGGAGTAGTAGCACATGTTTGGGTCTTAGTTATGGGCAAATTCAGTGAATCTTTAATGAAAAATTAAAACACTAGGAAAGTATAAAATTACATTTTCATAGATAATTCCAGTAATATATTTTAATAGTAAGAAAAAAATTACCAAAGCTCCCAAGAACATTAAATTTCAGCCTTAAATGACCCATAAGGAGTTAACATGCTGTTAAAGAAATTAAATATAACCAAGTCGAATTGGGGTCAAAACAATATGAAATTATAAAAATACATTTTTATAGTAAAATAATTCCAGCAATCGATTTTAATAGTAACAATGTCTGTTATGATATTTCATCATTCTAGAAAGATCTGAAATTTCATCATTATAAAAACAAACTTTCCAACACAAGCAACAGTAGCAGTAGTAAAACCAACAACACAGAGTGGTTAAGACGTATCTCCTTCACTCCGTGAAAATCCAAAGTTGACGGTTTCAAAAGCTTCCCTTAACCACAAAATTCTCGGAACACTTATAAACAACACTATTTACATTGTTCGGACTATCATCCTCATCTTTTTTGCCATATTTAGCACAACGTAAAAAATAGTTGCTGAAGACATTAGGTTTATAATACCCAGAAATGCATACATTCTTTTTTCATTTTCTGTCTTTTTGACTAGTGTAAATCTAACCATTGTCTAACATTTTTAATCATGTGTAAATCTGACCATTGTCTATCTTTTTGGCTCTAGCGTCAACTAGACCATTGTCTATCTTTTTTTTTTTACTTTAGTATAAACCGAAACTATGTATATGCTTATAGTAATTCTTTCTGGGATTTTATCCTATTTTACAACTGTTGAAAGGTAGTTAAATTTAACATATAATCGACCTTTTAACGATTCAGATGCTCAATGGTAATGTTTTGTGGGTTTGAAAAAAAGAATGCAGAGTGGGTATTTTCCACTTCTTCACGTGTTATAAAGGCTAGTCACCGAGAGGGGGTTCCGTAAGCTTGGAATCAGAGGTAGAATCATATGTAGAAAGATCCAGAAAGTACGGACAATTTTCTCAACCGAAGTCTTGAAACTGTTCGGATGTGATCTTTGCTGAATGGTCATGCATTATGGGGATGAAACGTCATACCTCTTCCAATGTTCAAACTTGATATCTTTTCCTTATAAAGCCATCTTTAAATCTCCATTTTCTGACAACGGATGGTTACTGTAATAATAATATTCACTATAAAAACTAAGTGAACTAAACCAACACAATCCCATCAAAATATTTATCAAAACTTTCTATGCTTTTTCATCTATTTGGGATACTCCAAGTTTTATCAATCATAGTATACCATATAAAAAAAAATTACCGTAACATTTCAAACAATTAAGACTTTTATCTTATCGCTTATTTTTTAGGAAAATATTTATGATATAATAAATGCTCGAGGTATGGCTAGCAGAATGGTTTAGGAATAAATAATTGATTTACATGTATGTTAATGATTTGTGAGATGAGTTTATTAATCAATTCTACGCGGCGAGGCGGGGTATTATTTAATTTAACATCTTCTCGATATACCTGCAGTTCCAAGTGACGATCGAACTCACCATAATAGTAATGGCCAGTGAAAATAAGTTCTTAAAACATTTTTTTTTAATTCCATACCATTTATTTTTTAACATTTTGTTTGTGTTGATCGTGATTCTTTAATAAACAGACAATCCCAGTTTGTTTGGAAAATGCTGATTCCGTAATTTGATCCTCAAAGAATATAAGATTTTTCCTTTTCTATTTTTTAAAAGTCTAAATACGTTAGAGCAGAACAGAAATAAAAGAGAGAACAATAGAAAAGATAATTTTCAATTACATTATGGCAGCCATATTGCACAAACATGCTTGCCCAATGATCGGTTTAAATAGCATGGATTCACTACAACTCTTAAACTGGCTTATTTGCAATTTCTTTCTTACTTGTTTGCTTTATTGCTTGCTTTCATTCTTGTTTGCTTTCTTTCTTCCTCGCTTTCTTTCTTCTTTGCTTTCTTTATTGCTATCTTTCTTCTTTGCTTTCTTTCTTGCTTTCTTTCTTCATTGTTTTCTTTCTTTCTTTCTTTCGTTCTTTCTTCATTGCTTTCTTTCTTGCTTGCTTGCTAGCTTTCTTTCCGTCTTTCTTTCTGTCGGTTTTTCTTTCTTTCTTTCTTCATTGCTTTCTTTCTTTCTTTCTTTTTTCATTGCTTTCTTTTCGTCTTTCTTTCTGTCTTCAGCCTTTCTTTTTCTTTCTTTCTTTCTTTCTTTTTTGCTTGCTTGCTTGCGTTCGTTTTTCATTCTTTCTTGCATTCTTTCTTTATTTTTTGCTTTATTTCTTTCTATCTTTCTTTATTTATTTATTTCTTTCTTTCTGTCTTTCTTACTTTCACTCTTTTTCTCACTCTGTCTATCTATTACCTTCTTTAGCAGATATTCACTCCACTATAATGGTTTCTTTATCCTCTTATTTGATTGACCGTCATGATGATAGAAACACGATATCCTATAATAACAAAATCTGGTGTTGATTTTAGTTGGTTGATTTTACGATATACCAACCATTGTTAGCCTAGTTAATGTTGAAGATCAAACACAATACTCAGTAGTAATATTCAACCAGGCTAGCTTCGTTAATCATAACGAGGAGCCTATATATGATGCATGTTTGCGTTATTATTTACTTTTATTCGTATTTTCCCAATGAAACATGGCCCAGTGCACATGTTAGTACTTCGTATGTACATTCGCCGAATCGTTCCATGACCACAGATTCTCGAATTGATTTAAATCAGGACAGTTTCCGGGCCAGTCTATAGTTACTTTGATTCGCTCACTGGTAAGGCTTGCTAGTGTGTTTACTGCAGCGTTACAATTTTCGTACACTTCCTTGGAGTAACGTCCATCGCGGACAAATGGCCGTAGGACAACTAATCGGCAGTCGAGACAATAGTGTCTGAACGTGATAATGCAATCACAGATGACGCAATATTTTTCAAGTGAAAACAAATTTCATCATGGATCCGAAAATAGATTCATATTACTGCACACCATTGCAAATGACCTAATCTGGGGAAAAATAGAAATTGATTACACCCTGTCATTCCAGTAGGTCTAAAATTGACCGTATGGTGAAAGAAGGGAAACTAAAGTAGTTGTTTCAATTAATTCGCACAATAGTGTATTATATTATGTTGGTAGACTGAATTTACGACATCGACTATTGTTGGGTTATTTAATGTCGTATTTTTGTACGGCTCCCTCAGTTAAGATCGAACTCACTAGTCATTAATCAACCAGACAAACCTCGCTGTGCATTACTTCTCGCCTAGGTGTCGAGTGATGACGGGTGCGTCACTCCAATCTCAATCTCTTCAAGTCTAGGTTTAAATTTAGGGATTTATGCATAACCCCACGAACTTAATTTATTGCCTTTTATCACGCTCATACAACACCTCACAGTAACCCTCTACACTGAGTGGCTTTTGGGCCTTGTATTGGGTGTGGTGTTATCTCATTTAATAGTTGACTAAAAAACATTATTCTTATCATTCACAATCTTACCATACAAATATAAATATATTCAATTATTTTAACAAATAATGAAATTTCACTTTTAGAAAATATACATTTCAGGTCAATAAACAAAGAGATGTGGGTGACTTATTTAATATTTCGATGTCTCTTCACATCATATTCTTAAAATGTCAGCTTGCTGATTACTTGGAGTAGCTATGTGAATTTGTTAAAACGTAATCTTCAATATGGCAACTCGTAATACATGCTTGTCACGCGATTGACTGTTTCACAGAAACGATCGAGTGGTATTTTACGTGTGGTTTACGGATGAAGGTCTCGACGGATGAATACTGGCTACGGTTCCTATTAGATCCATAATGTCTCCTCCTAATTCTACAAAGAAATTCCCGCGGCGAATATCGTCTTCTCATTGGCTGGGCGTAATCGGCTGAAATTTCAATTTATATGTAAAATTTTTGACCATAAAAAAAAAAAATATTCTAAAGAGAACACAAAATACTGTCAAAGCGCAAAACAAACTGGAAAAATACATCGATTTACCGATGACGGTCGTCGAAAGAGTAAAATAAAGATTTTAACAGTGAGAGAGACAGACGAGCGAATTTATGTTCAAACACACACGCAGATTTGCTAATCTTAGTATAGTCTGGCAAAGGAGCGCAAAAATGACGTACACATTAAGACGGACATGATTACTGTTGTGTGACAAATAAGGGCAGCGACATAATTGAATTATTTCTTGAAATTTCCCACCCAACACGGCGTTTATTAACGCTTATTATTTTGCAAATGATTTTCTCTGCGGCAGGAATATTTTCTTCGAGTTTATTCCCAAGATGCGAATTACGAATTAGAGATATCAAAATCAAGCAAGTACAGAAACTCAATTATCTGAAAAGTTTTCTAACAGACGACGGAAAATGTGAAACGAAATCCGAAGGCGCATTGAAATAACGAACGATGCCTTTCAAAAGCTAAGCAAAGTATTAAGAAAAAGGAATATTTCGTTAGAAACAACAAAATGAGAACTGCTATGTAATATCAGTCCTCCTATATGACAGTGAATGCTGGGCAATTTTATTGCATTTGAGCAGCAAACAGAGATGTGGTCCTGCAGAAGGGTGCTGAGAATACTGAACTTGTGACTAGCATGGAAGATTTAAGGATAATGTAACCAAAGAAACCTGTATTTAGAATCAGAAACAGTTAAAATATCGGTGACATATAAAGAAGGTTTGAAAAATTTGACCCACAATGAGGAAAGCGGAAATACTGAATTACTTTTCAGAAATAATATCTTTCCTATATATGTAGAATGTTTGATAGCACAAATTCTATAAGTCGGAAAGATGTGGATTCATAGCTTTCACAAGAGTATTTGCCTGTAAGTGAATATAACGTACTCTACTCTCCGATTTACAATTTAGAGTCGTTATCCATTACACCACCCGCACACCCAAGCTTACAGTACCTGGTATCCCAAGGTCACACAACTAGCTACTGACCAAGCTCGACGGTTGATCCTATGAAGCCATTTTTAACCATTGATCTTTTTTTTTATCGGTACCACCCCATGTAAGGCAGTAAAGCCCCTAAGACACAAGGGGTTACAAGATGAGGAGGAATTAAGAACATAAACTAATCACTGAAAAGAGCAAAGAGTAATAAAGAGAACAGTAGATAACGATTGACATTGCATTTAAATTTTTGCTGACTAAAATTGGCTGGAAAGCATGGAGCCGGAAGAGAGTTCCACAAGCGAGAAGTACGAGAAAAGAAACTGTTGGCATAGAAGTTGCAGCTACGTCTAGCCAACTCAACTGTAAATTGATGAGATCTCGACGCCAGTCTTGTAATGCGTCTAAATTCATGAACTCTAGGTACCATAGTGAAGAACGATATTTATTTATAAATATATACAAAATGTGGCACAAGGCCAAAATGGGGAATGGAAAAAAGTATGGTCTTCATCTGTCTTAAATATAAACTTAGCTAGCCGCAAACCCTAATCCAAACATACCGCAATATTTCTAACACCAAAACAACACATTCGTACTGATCTTTCTTACTACATTCACCATAATACCTCATTGTCTCTATGAAAATCCTAACTAGTCCCCATATGTACAATTCATTGTCTGTGGTAGAATAAAAGAACTATTTAAAAAATATCCTCAATGAGTATCCGAATTTTAATCATACTATCATGACACTGTGTAACAAATTTTTTTGTCTGAGGATAGTACCTGTTATTGCCTATTTGCTTATACCTGGGTAGTATTAAAAATGGTTAATATTTCCGTACCTGGATAATGATGTTTCTTAAATTTACTTATTTCCATTAGCCAAACTGGCGAATGTGACATTCTCGTTCACGCAAATTAGGATGAAAATGTCATATGATTCAAAAGTAGATTTTTTTTAAATCTAAAGTTACACAAAAAATAGAAGAGGGTAGTTCTTCGCGATTTTATGTTCATACTGTAAATTAATTTCATGAATCAGCTCCTCCACCCCATCCAATATAGTCTCCCATCATATTTTCGTTATACGATCCTTTGTAGCGGCATTCAAAGTCCAGTATATCATTGCTGAAATGCTCGACTTGCTCCTCTGTATAAGTCCCCATGTTCTCCTTGAACTTATCAAGATGAGCGATAAGGATATGGGCTTTGAGGGACGTCCTGCAGCCCATTTTGCCGTAGTTCTTCACCAGAGTCTCAACAGGCTACACTGAGTTTTCGGCCTTGTGATTCCCCAGGAAGCCCCGAACCACTGCGACAAATCCGTTCCACGCTGCTTTCTCCGTCCTTGTGAGTTTCTTGGGGAATTCCTAGCATTCTATGATCTTCTTTATTTGTGGAACGACGAAGACATCGGCTTTGACTTCTGCCGCAATAGCTTAGGGAAGAAGTCGTGATGATACTCGAAGGCTGCAGATTCCTTAACTAAAACGGTGACAAATTGTTTCATAAGGCACAATCTTAAGTCCAGTGGATGAAACAATACTTTCGAGTGGTCCAACGGTGGCTGCCATTTGACGTTGTTCCTCTCCACACTGAACTCTGTCCACTGTGACTAGTCCCTCCTGTGGTAGTGTGCCGAGGTGTTCCCTGCTGGCACGTGGAACTAGAACAGTCTACCGTAGTGAGGGAAATAAAGAGTTCAGTTCGACATTCCAACCACCTGATGAAGGCCGGAGCGTACAACTGCTGAAACGTTGTAATAAATATGGCGACAAAGGTGAGGACAATAGTCGGAATAATAAAAATACAAATATATTTCACCCAGTGTTATTGAAAAATTCTAAAAATAAATTACATTTTTGATTTTTGAAATTTCTAAAATTCGTGCGCTGGATATGTAAAATTCTCAATTTGTAGCAAATGCCACAAAATTACGGAATCATGAATGCTATAATATTCTAATATATATATATATATATATATATATATATATATATATATATATATATATATATAAAGGGAAATATAGAAGTCAGCATGTAGAGGCGACAGACTGTTTCATGCTAGATACAATCATCAGGCAACGAGTGTTGTTATTTTTTCTCGGCTATTTTTTTATATACGGGTCAGTGGTGCATTGTGGGTAGTGTATTTTGGCGGTTATTTTACCGAAGTCGTTTATTTGTTTATTTATTTATTTGGGTTAAATTATTTTGTTGTTTTTATTTATTTTTTTATTAAAATAAAATATAAAATATTTATAAAATAAAAATAAATAAATAAGATAAGAAATAAAAAAAATAAATGAAAACAAGCAAAATAATTTAACCCAAATAAATAAATTAACAAATAAACGACTTCCGATAAATTAACCGCCAAAATAGACTACCCACAATGCACCACTGACCCGTATATATATAAATAGCCGAGCACCTCGAGGCGGTGTAATGGTTAGCAAGCTTGGCTCGCTAGA